CTGATGAAAAGCCAAGATTGCTAATTTGGTTTGTTGGTTATTTTGTTTTATGGCATATCAAAACCTCAGTGGGTCATTTAATACCAACAAAATTTTGAACTAGATTCATAGCGGTAGTTTGGTAAAAAAAAATGCTGTGTATGCATACATATATATTTGAACCATTTTTCAATTAGTCATATCTTTGACTGCAATCCAACTTCTTTTAGGAAATTTACAATCTTGGATGGTTTTATTTTCGTAAAAAGTTTTTTTTAACTACTCACTTGGTTTGTTTTGTTTTACGTCATATCAACCTCAATGGATTATTTAATGCCAACAACTTTTTTTTCTGGTAATATTTTGTTTGGTCAAAAATCTATTTCTGATAATATTTTTTCCCTCAAAAATGTATTGCTGGTAATATTATTTTAAAAAATGTATTGCTGGTAATATTTTTTTCAAAAATACATTGCTGTTTTTTTTTTCTTCAAAAATTCATTTCTGGTAATAATTTTTACAAAATATTTCTGGTATTAAAATCTATTTTTACACGTTTATAATGCTTTTTTCCTCAGCTTAGGGGTTAACTAACTTTTGCCCATAGCTTGGACCTCAACAGGTGCTACCACCCCGGGTCAGGGTAGACCTGGGAACACTAGCAATTAATAAGTGGTTCCACTCTCCTCAAAACCTCCTGATCAGAGGCCTTGCTGTTGGACTTAGTATATCGTCTTATCCTGGACGCGGATGTAGTTTATCGTCATACTCAAGACGGGGAAGATTGTTGAAAAGTCACAAAAGATTACTGTTTATGTGCATTTTTTGCTAGCCAAATCATTGGGACGTATATTTATAAATTTGAACGCCCATTTTTGTAATAGGCTTCGATAACTTTAACACGTTATTTGATTGTTAATCTTTCCATGGTTGAAATTGCCAAAGATTTAAGTTGTTAAATCTGAAAAAAAAAAAAAAATTAGACGCTTAAACTTAATTCACATTTAAAATCAGTCCAAGTTATTGGAACACTCTATATATCAATCGCTTTCAGAATTTTGTTCTCAAATACGTGACGCAGCATGGGTATGCACTGGAAAATGGCCGCTTCTAGAATAAGCCTTTTAATTGTGTTCTAATATATTATTATAATAGTTGCACAAATATATATTATCCATTCCTAATGATCAAGGTCACTTTTTTAATGAATTTGTATCAATCTCTTTTAGAATTTAAACTAAAACATTATATGTCCCTGATCTTGAACAATCACAAAAGAAAATGTTTAACTTTTTCACGGGTTCAACCTTGGCCATAAAGCTTCTCAAACTGCTCCCACATTAAAGGCGATATGGAGTAGCATAACCAGTTGTGACCGGACAGTACGGCGCTGGTTTCTGAAGCTCCGCAGTTTCTAAAAACTGAAGTTGCACAATGAAAAGATTATGGTGACTATTTGGTTGCCCGCCTTTGGAGTTATCCATTACAGCTTTCCGGAATCTAACCAGAGAATCCCTGTCGAATTCTACTGCCAGGAACCGGATTAAATGCACATTCAGTTAAGCAAAATGCAACCGGTAAATCTGCTTGATGACAATGCTCGGCCATGTATTGCCATCATGGCCATGAAGAAATAAACCGTCTCGGAATACGATAACCTACACTTTCTAAAATACTTTTAATAGAAAAACGAACTTCTCAGGAAAGATGGAGGGTATAGCGACCGAAGGATTGTAATTGAAAAAACAAAGAATTTACCCAGAAAAATAAAAGGAAAAAATTATTTGTCAAGTGTGTCTACCCAGTACAAAATTCCAAGATTAATTCGCTTATTGGTTTCCATACTTTCGTTGCCAGGATTCCGAGATTATCGCACTAACCACTACTCTACGGTGAAGTGGCTATCAAATCAATAAGATCTGAGTTTTCTAAAAAGTTGGAAAATATTTAGTTATTCTCATCATGATAATAACGTTTTTTTTCACCCCAAGTAAGGCAATAAAACCACTAAGATGCAAGTGGTTACTGAGTGATAGAGACAATGAGAAAAATAACACTATTAAGGATAGAGAATAATAAAAGAACAAGAATTAAGAAGACAGAAGATAACGATTGACATTGCATGTAAATCTTTGAAGATTTATTGGGAACAAGAAGCCGGAAGAGAATTCCACAAGTGAGAAGTGCAATAGAAGAAACTGTTAGCATAGAACTTACGGTTACATCCAGCCATTTCAGTTGTAAAATAATGAGACCATGCAAAGTAAGGAATTCGCTATTGTGTGTTTATAAAAGTATTGTGTGAACCTAACCTACCTACAAATGAACTATTCCACACTTATATATGTAGCTACCAACTATGAGTTAGGAGGTCCCCAGTGAGACAAAGTACTCTCCTGCCCACGTTTACTGTTGTACTTTTACCGAGAATATATTATTAAACCTGATATCCGAGTCCGAGTTATCTTTTATGGTCCACCCATAACAAAAAGTAAGGACAACATGTCTTCGCCTGTTCTTTTCTCACCTATTTCCTGTATCTTCTTATTCTTTCCCCGATCCCTTCCAATCTTCGTTTTTATTTTTGTTTTATTCAAGTGTTCAAAAGTAAATTCATTATTTACATGATTTTCATGCGGACTGTTGTCTTCATCTTCTGTCGTTGTTTTCTCCGGCCTTCAGCAGGTGATTGCCGTTCCGGGAAGCTTCCAGGGAATTTATAGCTGAACCCTCTATTCATAGTAGATAGGAGTAGATAGTTAGGGCCTTATTCATGATATTCGAAGATGTCTTGTCTCGTTCGTATTTAGTACAGCTCAATTATAGCTCGCCCTATTCCCATGGAGACCAAGTACATACTGCCCGGATTGAACTCAATTACTATATCACCGAATTCACGAGCCGACGGCTTAACCCACTAGGTAATTGTCCCTCGAGAATATGTTTCCGTTAAAAGTGTATATATGTATGTATCGACATTAGTAGTCGTAGTAATAGAGGAAAGTGTAATACGGAAATTCGGCTGGAAATAATTCAAGTTCAGTAGTTATTTCACACTTGGGTAGACATCGGTATTTTATTCTATCAGAACAATACAGGATAGAAAGTAATTTGAAAAAAAAATACAACATAGATCTATGTTTGGGCTAAATTTCAAATCTTGTCGATCATAACGGTTTGAATACAAGAAGAAGAAGAAGAAGAGGATGATGATGATGATGAAGATTATGGGTAAAAAGAAAAAGAAGACCAGATGTAAAAAAGAAGAACAGGAAGGAAACAGAAGAAGAAAAACGAGAAGGAAAAGGAGAAGAACAAAAAAAAAGAAGAACGAGAACAAGATTATCAGGAGTAAGAAGAAGAAGAAGAAGAAGAAGAAGAACAACAACAACAACAAGTACAAGATGACCAGGAGTAAGAAGAAGAAGGTGATGATGATGATGATGATGATGAACATAACGTGTTAAAAAGGAGAAGACCAGAAGTAGAAAGAATTAGAGGGAGAAAAAAGAAGAGGAAAAACAAGAACAACAACAAGATGATCAAGAAGAAGAAGAAGAAGAAGAAAAAGCAGCAGCAGAAAAAGATGATGATGATGATGATGATGATGATGAAGACGAAGATCATAGGTAAAAAGAAAAAGGAGACCAGAAGGAAAAAGAAGAAAAACAAGAAGAAGAAGAAGAAGAAGATGATCAGGAGTAAGAAGAAAAAGAAGAGAAAGAAGAAGAAGAAGATGAGTTGTAAAAAGTAGAAGAATTATTGAAGCTGATACCCTGATTTTTATTCCGACCCCGACATTTCAGCCAGTAAACATACTACTTCATCTTTAAAAATCTCCGTTTTGTCTCCTTTCCAAGATTACCATTCGAATGGCGATGACCTTCCTTCTGCTCAAAAATAATTTCCGTATTCTTCCTTGTTAATAGCATTAATTAGTCATCTCGCTAATGTTTCTAGTTGATTGTTACCACTAAGTAGTTAGTTCAATCCCGACTGAGTAATTCATAATTAAGTTTAGCTAAATAATAAAATAAGCATAATAATAGTAATTACATGAAAATTAATTAAATATAAATTCCTTTAATGTCCAGCTCAGGAAGTATCCTAATTAAGTTTCCTTCTAATTTCACTGGTAATATAAACTGCACTGGAGGCAAAAGAGTTCGAAATTGTGGCGTCCATGTTAAAATTAGAAAATAGGGAAAGTCATAGACTGTTTCCCTAGCCAATTATACCGTGAATATCCAAAGATCAGAAACTTGAGCGAAAACACATTTATAGTATATATATATATATATATATATATATATATATATATATATATATATATATATATATATATATATATATATAAAAAGCAAATATATGGATATAGATCCGACAGTATGAAGAAAAATATACAGAAAAAACAAACAAAAATCGTAGTTGCATATTAAGATTTTTTGTCTGTATATTTTTCTTCATATATATATATATATAAAGACATTTTATGTTTATACATTCTTTTTATAGATACAAATATTAAAGTAAATGTTCTGTTTATAACAAACAGTATTAAACAATATTTACCGGTGTGAATGTCCGAGAAATTTTCATAGAAAATATTCGTTCTCCGACAGGATTCGAACCTGTATCCTATACGGAACCAACATTTAGCTTGACGTGCCACAGAGGATCGTTCGGTTGACGAGGTCGTATTTACTGATTTTAAATTTCAATTATCCTTGAATCTCTCACGTACATTCATATCTGCTCATGGCGTATCAAATGTAAACAACTGACGTCACACATTAGGGAATGTACAAAGTCCGACAATTATTTTAAGACATTTTTATGTCTATACATTGTATCTATAAAAAGAATGTATAAGCATAAAATGTCTTTAAATAATTGTAGGACTTTGTGCATTTCATAATATATATATATATATATATATATATATATATATATATATATATATATTTGATCTAATGATCTAATATGTAAATTGTATATAAATCCAGTTCTCTTTGTTTTGGTCAATTGTTGGATTTGTAATTTTCTTCTCGCCGTTCTTTTGTGACTGACATTTGAGTCATGAAGGGGGATAAGAGAGAGAGAGAATCTGATAGAAATGATGTTGATGAAAATAGAGGAAAAAGAAAGGAAACATAAAAAATGTTTACAAAGATATTATCGGGGAAGGAAATAGCTATCGGGCTAGCTAGCCAGATAGATAGATAGATAGATAGATAGATAGATAGATAGATAGATTCGAACACACTAGGATAGATAGATAGATAGATAGATAGATAGATAGATAGATTCGAACACACTAGGATAGATAGATAGATTGATAGATAGATTCGAACAGACTAGGATCGATAGATAGATAGATAGATAGATAGATAGATAGATAGATATTAACAAACTTAGCTCGCTAGCTATGTAGCAATCTAGCAATCTAGCTATCTATCTATCTAATTAGCTAGCTAGCTAGTTAGCTAGCTAGATAGATAGATAGATAGATAGAAAGACTCGAATAAACTAGGATAGATAGATAGATAGATTCGAATAAACTAGGATAGATAATTAACAAACTTAGCTCGCTAGCTATCTATCTAGATATCTATCTATCTAGATATCTATCTATCTAGATAGATAGATAGATTGGAACACACTAGGATAGATAGATAGATAGATAGATAGATAGATAGATAGATAGATAGATAGATAGATAGATAGATAGATAGATAGATTCGAACAGACTAAGATAGATTCGTCTAGGATATTTAGATAGATAGATAGATAGATAGATAGATAGATAGATAGATAGATATTAACAAACTTAGCTCGCTAGCTATGTAGCAATCTAGATAGATATCTATCCATCTATCTAATTAGCTAGCTAGCTAGCTAGAAAGATAGATAGATAGATAGAAAGATTCGAATAAACTAGGATAGATAGATAATTAACAAACTTAGCTCACTAGCTATCTATATATCTATCTATCTAGATATCTATCAATCTATCTATCTATCTAGATAGATAGATTCGAACACACTAGGATAGATAGATAGATAGATAGATAGATAGATAGATAGATAGATAGATAAACAAACTTAGCTAGATAGAATGAACTGAGTGAATATGATTTGCTGCCATTATTAACGTATCTGACGCCTGGCCTTTCTTTAATTAAATACGCGACCCTTGTCATTCTCAGCGGCTTCAAATTTTTCGACTTCTAAATTTTCTTCCACCCGCCCTTCTTTAACTAAATTTAAAAGTGCACTAGCAGCCTTTCGCCTCCTCTCTGCTGTTTCATTTGCATTCATTATGATCCTGATGTAATTATCGACTTGTTAAGTAGTCAATGAGCCGTGTTAAGTCGTAACACTCAAAAGGATCGACTCATATTCCAAATCTCTCTTCGGAGATTCAAACCCGGCGTTCGTAATAGACTAATGGAAATTTACGCAACATCCCTCACCAAAAGCAACAATACATAATAAAAAATTAAAAAAAAACGAATATATTTTTCGTAAAGTTCCAAACGCTAATCAGAAATAGAAAAAAAAATCATTCGCTAGAATCAAGGAAAAGAGTACTAGACGTCGATGCGATATCTATCTTTCTCTATGTCAGGGAGTGCTGGACGATTTCCTCAAAGATGAAAGCGAGGCTAGAAGCAACAGAAATGGAGTTCTACAGACGGATGCTGAGGATACCTTGGAAATAACATGTGAGCAACGACAGTTTGGGAGAAAATAGAAACAAATAGAATCAGGAAGAGACAGTTGCAGATTCTGGGGCACATATTGAGGAAGGAAGGCTTGGAAAATCTGATACTCACAGGACAGAATGAAAGAAAGGAGAACAGAGGAAAACAACGCATAACATAGTGAGCTTGAGTAAATCGATGTCGGAGCAGGGCTTAGGAGAAATACCAGAAAGACAATGTTTATTAAATGTTACAAATGACTGGAAAATGTGGAGAACCATGATCGCCTGCGTCCCGACAATACAAGGCACATAAAGAAGTGTCACGTCAGAAATAAGCTTACCAATATGTAGGATTGCGATTCTAGTTGGGCTTTTCAGAAAATGTAATCCATTATATATATATATATATATATATATATATATATATATCAATATGCATTACATTTTCTGAAAAGCCCAATTATATATATATATATATATATATATATATATATATATATATATATATATATATATAATGCATTACATTTTCTGAAAAGCAATTAATATATATATATAATATATATATATATATATATATATATATATAATGCATTACATTTTCTGAAAAGCCCAACTATGATCCTAGCTAGAGGCAACTGGGTGTCTAGCTGCACTGATGAGCTGTGAAACAGCGAAACAGTCTGTCTGTGGATGACGTTTATTGGCTCCAGAAAAATTAATTTCAGTTGAGCTCTCTGGGGAGGAGGTGTGGGTTGGTAAACAGTGACTATTTATAGCTATATAGCGAGACTCTTCGCAAAAGTGAATCGAGTCACTGTCGGTCACTGGGCGTGTTTCTAAAAATAAATACGCTAAAAATCCACCTTCATCCCTACCGTGCGCCGACGGCTTAATGGTTAGAATCTCCGACTGACACCAAGTCAGTCGAGTTGCGATCCTAGCTCGAGGCAACCGGATGTCTAGCCGCACTGATGAGCTGTGAAACAGCGAAACAGTCTGTCTGTGGATGACGTATATATATATATATATATATATATATATATATATATATATAATGCATTACATTTTCTGAAAAGCCTACTAGAAAAGCCCAACTAGAATATAGCGATTCTAGTTGGGCTTTTCAGAAAATATAATGCATATTGGCAAGCTTATATATATATATATATATATATATATATATATATATATATATTAATTGATTTAAAATATGTTTTTTTTTATAATAGTAATGCTCTGTAAATTTACATTGAGCACTATTTTGTAAAATAAAATATCTATAAGAACACTGGATTATATATCTTACTGTTCTTTTCTTATATATATATATATATATATATATATATATATATATATATATATATATATTTATATATATACATATATATATATATATATATATATATAATAAATAAAAAACAGACCACTTTAAGGTTCCATGTAATAAATTATTTCACCACAGCCCTTTTAAAGGACTGCGGATCATCAGACTTTACTTCCAAAGGTTGAAATGAAAATGAAAAGAAATTTACACATTTAAGAATAGAAATATTAAATTACATCTCACTTATGTCTTCTCTCCCTCCCCCTCACTTCCTCACTTCGTTAATTTACATATGCTTAATACGGCCCGGCAAAAATGTGTAAATTTCTTTTCATTTTTTGTTTCAACCTTTGGAAGTAAAGTCTGATGATCCGCAGTCCTTTAAAATGGCTGTGGTGAAATAATTTATTACATGGAACCTTAAAGAGGTCTGTTTTTATTTAAATTATTTGCTCTGGATTTACATTGAGCTCTCTGGATTTTATCCTCCTTGGGTCTACCCATACGGATTACCTAGTTTTTCAGAAACTATATATATATATATATATATATATATATATATATATATATATATATATATATATATATATATATAAATCATAAATATATAATGAATCATTATATATGATACATCATATAGATAATGTATCATATGTAATACATCATATATATATATATATATATATATATATATATATATATATATATATATATATATTGTGTATTCAGGCAGCAATTTCCCTTTTATACAAGTTTCATTGAAGACAATTAACTGCGATCAAGCGTTTCATTTTTTTTCATTCGTACAAGTATTTTTTTTTTTTGTATATTTAGTTTTGTAAAACTGACCAAATATTGTTTTTTAATTAAACAGTATTAAATACACTTCTCCGAAAAGTAACGCATAGATGGCTTCGAGTGAATGAAGCCAGTAGGTGTTAAGCGAGAAGCATATTTATTCAAACCTCACGAATTGGCGCTACAGAATCACAAACAAAGATCTATACCAAATAACAGAAACCACATCACTTGAGTACAACAACAAGGGGCAAATCCGAAAATGGATAGCACATGTAATTTGAGATGATAATGACATAATCAAGATACTGACGTTCCACACTACTTCAAAGTAGTAGAAAAGGTTAGGAAGGAAACCTCCGTCAATAATGGAAAGAGCGATCACAGTTACTAGACTCGAGAAAAATATTTTATTAAAAATAAATCTTTTAAAGAGAAATATTTCATAAATTTCAACCGATTGAACAGAACTGCCTGAACTGGTTTTTTTTTGTTATTTATTCAAACCTGAAATAAAATAAATAAATAAATAAATAAACAAGAACTATCAATAAAGCTCTATTTATTTTGTAAAAATACAAAAAAGTGGCACAAGGCCATAAGGGGATGGGGAAAAGCTGGTATTCTGCCTTATAATTAAACTTAATTAGCCACAATTACTGACCCAAACATATCACAGTATTCCTTACACCAAAACAACACATTTTTGCTTACTACAGCCACCATAATACCTCAGAGTCTCTATGAAGTCCTAACCATATATAGGAAAGTAATATTTATTTTGAAAATACAAAAATGTGGCACAAGGTCAAAAGTGGCGATTGGGGAAGGCTGGTCTTCAATGTGTCTTATCTTAAACTTACCTTGCTACAATTACTGACCCAAACATACCACAGTATTCCTTACACCAAACAGCACATTCTTACTTACCATTTTTCCTACAGCCACCTTAATACCTCAGAGTCTTTATGAAGTCTTAACTAGTTCTCAGATGTACAATTTCTGTCTGTATGACGTGGGAATAAAACAACAATTTATAAATCAAACATCAATGCGTATTTACAATTATATAATGTACAGGGGTTAACAGCAAAATTGTACAAATCGTGTAATAGGCATGCGAAAATTGACCATTCCATAAAATGTTTAAATTCTAAAGAACCACTAAACTAATTGAGTTTTTTTTTTTTTTTTCAGGTTTTCAGATAAGACGTAAGGGTAAGAATCACTGAAAAAGTCTTTAAATTATTCAGTTAGAAATAGATTAGGTTAAAATTATTTTGTGTCAGCCCCAATATATCTTACCAACTGAGTAATGGTGAGAGGAAAAAGATCATTCAGGTCTTCAGTAATGCTACCAACATTCATACTCTGGCTTCCATCTTCAAAGCCCATTCAAGGACCATCAAGAAAACGGTGAATAAGTTTTAAAAAGAGGGATCAGTAGAGAGGAAAACTGGATCAGGAGGTCACAACTGCAAGAGGGATTATCATTTCAACTTAGAGCTAAATAGATTCTTATTGTTCAAAGTAGAGTCTAATAGTGTTATAAAAACCTCGGAAAATTCCAGTAAGATATCTTTAATCATTTCTAAGATACAACGGTTCAAAGCTTAATCTAAAAATTGGACAATTTTGTTGTTACACGATTTGAACAATTTTGCTGTTGCATATATATATATATATATATATATATATATATATATATATATATATATATATATATATATATAAGAAACTAAACAAAGTAATTTTCAGTAATATCTCCCACCCACGATATTTATTTGTGGCAGAAACATTAGTTAACTGACCGAAATAAATGCGGGACTCAAAAAGTGACATAAACAATCTTTCTTCCAACCACTTACTCAAACACTCACTCATTTAAACACATCAACAAATACGAAAAGCCCACCCGATATACGAAAGGCGTCCCGCATCCACCAGCGAACTGACATCTCTGGTCACGTAAAGTGGTAGGGAGAAAGAAATGAACTAAAGAAAGTGGGGGCAGAAATAAGAGGTTAATGAGTTTACATTTCCTAGGTAATTGTACTTTAAGAAAAGAAACTAAATACAAAATAACGATATACTAATCTAATTTTTGAACTGGGTTGCAATTAGAAATAAACAAATACAATCCTGTAATTGGTATATTGATGCCATATAGTGCTACTAATATGTACTCACGGTTCTTGATAAAATTCAAAATGGGGGCTGCAAAGTATATCACTTCTGAACTTGTATCTTGTCTTCAGTTATAATGACCACCGACGTGACGGGCCTTCCCTCTACAAATATTTCATGACAATTCTTCTGATGAATTAACTTAAGGCTTAATCATGTTAAAAAACCATTCCGGTAAGATCATCTAATTTAACCAACGTCAAGCCTGGTCAGTTGTCAGGTGACTGCTCAGGCGCAGTAAACGTAATTGTGCGGGTGGTGTAATGGATAATGGCTCTGGATTGTTAATCGAAGTACCGAGTTCCAATTCCCGTCGGGTTCGTCATAGTCACTTACGAGTAAATACCCATTGGCAAAGGTAGGAATCCAACTTTCCTCTCCCCAGCAGTGGGTTAATTAGTAAGACTTGTATCACTAAAACAAAAAAAAATGACAAGCTAAATATATTTCCTGGCTTTAAATAACCCGCAAAGGGTTGATTAACCGTAAAAACGAATCACGCGATCAAACTGATTAGTTTTTTTTTCTCTTTGGTGTAAAATTATGTGCTATGTGTGATACACGCTTAAGCGATCATGTATCTTACGATACATGACTGACGAGGCAGCTTTTTACCCGCAGTGAGCTGCCAGGTTACGGTAGACCAGTTGCCATCCAAGGCTATAGAACCCGGTCTGTCCTGCTATTTACCCATAGCTGTGGGGGGAGAAGAAGAGGATTCATATCTACCCAAAGGGTATTAGCACGTAAGCGAATTTCAGTCAGTTATGTGCTATGCGTGACACACGCTTAAGCGATCATGTATCTTTCGATACATGACTGGCGAGGGAGAATTTTTTCCCGCAGTAGGTTGCCATTTCTTTCTTCGGTATGACCAGTTGCCAATCAAGGCTATAGAGCCCGGTCTCTCCTGCTTTTTACCCATAGCTGGGGGGAGAAGAAGAAGAGGATTCATACCTTTCCCAAGGGTATTAGCACGTAAGCGAATTTCAGTCAGTTATGTGCTATGCTTGATACACGCTTAGGCGATCATGTATCTTTCGATACATAACTGACGAGGCAGAATATTTTTTCCGCAGTAGGTTGCCATTTCTTTTTTTGCGGTAAACCAGTTGCCATCCTAGGCTATATAGCCTGGTTTCTCCAGCTTTTTACCCATAGCTGGGGGAGAAGAAGAGGATTCAATTCTTTTCCAAGTGTATTAGCACGTAAGTGAATGTAATGGAATTCGAATTTCGCTCTCCGATTCCTCAATCCGACCCCCCCAAGCCTACTAAGATTGTTAATAAGGTCTCAAAGTTTTACAGTTAAACTAACTACCTAGAGAGATAGATAGATAAGAACGGACTGATATGGATAGACAGAGAGATATAAATTGACTGAGACAGATAGATAGATAGATAGATAGATAGATAGATAGATAGATAGATAAGAACGGACTGCCTATAGAGAATAGATATAAATTCACTGAGATAGATAGATAGATAGATAAATAGATAGATAAAACGGATTGATTAGATAGATAGATAGATAGATAGATAGATAGATAGATAGATAGATACGAATAAATTGACTGAGATAGATATATATATATATATATAAGAACGGATATATATAAATTATGGGATAGATAGATATATAGATATATATATATATATATATAAGAACGGACTGATATAGATAGACAGATAGAAATAAATTGATTGAGATAGATAGATATAGATATAGATATATATATATATATATATATATATATATATATATATATATATATATATATATATATATATATATATCGCTCTTTATTTTAATCCTTTTCTTGATCTCGTTTCTTTTTGCGGAAAGATCAATCCCATTATCGATGGAATTTCAGATTTTATTTTAAAACAAAGATCCAATAACGTGAAAATCATGTCAGTTAAAGTGAGCACCTTTTGTACGCCACTCAGCGGCAAAAACACACATTTATTTTCAAGGGCAGATAATTTCTTCACGTCAGTCTTTTCCCGAGACGGGAGGCGCTTGATCAATTCTGCCCTTCGATGACTGATGGAAAGTTCAACGCACTTGTAACGTCATTAAGTAATCGATCATCTTACCCGATTTTTTTTTGTTATTCTTGTAATCCAATATTGAATTTCCATGTTGAGTTGTTGCAATTACCGTCGTCATTCGTTGTATGTTCAACATGGCGTTTTTGTCGCTACAATCTTCTTAATTCAACAGCTATCTCTACATCTTACTTCATTATCATAATTCAGTGTAACCGTTTTTGTTTCACAGATTTGCTTATTTTTTTTTAATACTGTCATTTTGTGTTATTCTCCGACACGTGATCAGCTGTCAACTTCTTGCCTGTCATTTACTTTACTGTGCATTTTATAACTCTTCTATTTAACATATGCAAATAGGTAAAATCGATCACACCTCCCTGAACCGAAGAAGTTTAATGCCTTTAGTTGTACTCGAAATTCTTTTACAGCCTCTTTTTCCTCTTTCCACCCCTTGAGCTTTACGTCTGTTCTTTTTAATGGAGATCTTGGTCTCACTTCATCTTCTTCCGTGTTCGTGTGTGTCACGCCCGCTATCGTCCATATCTGTATTGTTCAGATCTGAACAACTCATCCTCTAAATTCATGTTCATTTACTTTTCTCTCTCCTTAATAAAGTTTTTTTCTCTTCTATATGTATATAAATGACAAAGTAAATATATATCCAGACTCAATATCACCCAAGCCATTTTTTTTTTTTTTTGGTAAAAGAATTATCATCGTGTCATTTGTATTTACCACGATATTTTAAAAATAAAATTCATTCGAAATTCTCAGAATTAAAAAGTAAAAACGAACGGTAATAATTCTTATTCTCGATTATCATTCCTATTCGTTTTTACGTTTAAATTTTGCTGATACTTTAGAAACGATTAGCATGTATGTATTTTTAAAATTTCTATTCTCTTTAATTTATTTTCATATATATAATAGTAAATAAAAGTAAATATAGTAATATATAATAGTAAATAAAAGTGTAACTTTAAAAATATATAGTAAATATAGAGTGTGACATTAAATATATAAATATATATATATATATATATATATATATAAATATATATATATAATTAAATATATATATATATATATAAATTTATATATATATATATATATATAACTGAATTATATATATATATACAAAAATTATATATATATATATATATATATATATATATATATATATATATGCTCTACGGTTGTATTGAGCTCTTTTCTTAGTTGTTTACTCGTATCGTTTTTTTTCTTTGGGCTTCAAACCTGTATGTGTGCGTTTTTTTTTTCGATAGGCTTTCATGTTTCTAGCTCTTCTTTTTTAAAAACCTTTTTTCCCTCTGGATTGATTATTGGCAAATCAAGAATTGAGGGTTTTCGAAACGAGTATAGTTACCTATATATATATATATATATATATATATATATATATATATATATATATATATTTAAGCATTACCCCAAAGCAAGGCGTGAAGCCACTAGGATGCAGGGGTTTGCGGAAGATTTGGAGCGAGAGCAGATAGGAGTGATAGGAGAAAGGATGGAGAGAAGGATAGTGCGTAGATCATGGTAACTGGAGATGTCGATTGACATTACATTTGAATAGTTGGAGATTATAGCCTTCAGGGAAGCGTAACTGGGGAGGGTGTTCCACTGGCGAGAGGTGCGAGGTATGAAGACGGCTACATTTGGGAGTTTCTAGTAAAAGTGTAACTTTAAAAAATGAACATTAAAACAACAAAGTACATTTAAAAGAAGATGGATATTAAATACAAATATTTGACAAAAAGTTTATTATTTATGTGTATGTGTGTGTGTGTGTGCGTTCGGCTAAAACTAAAAACTAATGTGCGAGTGTATGTGTTTGTGTGTGGATTATTGATTTAATATTTTTCGGCCATCTTATTATCTTTTTATTCAATCTTTGAAAAAATAAACTTCATTATTATTTGCGGCGGGTCGGGGGGTTAAGAGGAAGAAGGACTAATCTCATAGTTAGGAACATTGCTTTCTTTCTTTCTTTCTTTTTACTTACTTTCTTTCTTTCTTTCTTTTCCTCCTCTTTATTCTGGCCAGTTGCTTCGCATGTACTTGCGGGTGAATGGTGACACTGAATGTACAGATAAGTATTCTTATCTATAGGCCCCCATCAACGGATTTCGGAAGCAACGGACAAAATTTGCAAGCAAAATAAAAAAAAAAAAAAGAAAAGAATCTTCAGGCCAAAAAAAAAATGTCGAAATCTTCAGTAATATATTTCAAAATTTGTGGCCTTTGCTGAACGAGTCGTATTAGTTCTCAAAATGATCGCTTGGCGGCGGTAGCAGGCCTTTCAATTGTTAAGAAAGATGGGTGTACAGTATATAAAGTACGACAAATTAGCGCGCGCATGAGAAAGTAGCTGTGAGAAATGTATTATTTTTGTTATTTTGCTTCATATATTAAATGTCCTGCCGTCATCTTGGCATCGACGCAGAAGGAAAATGTAAAAAGAAAGCAGACTAATGATGGCGGAGGGGATAGTCCGTTAAAACCCATTGTCCGAAGAACACTGATACTTAGGTTTGTAACCTAAGTATCAGTGTTGACTGAGATAGATAGATAGATAGATAGATAGATAGATAGATAGATAGATAGATAGATAAGAACGGACTGCTCTCGATAGACAGATAGATATAAATTGACTGAGATAGATAGATAGATAGATAGATAGATAGATAGATAGATAAGAACGGACTGCTATAGATAGACAGATAGATATAAATTGACTGAGATAGAAAGATAGATAGATAGATAGATAGATAGATAGATAGATAGATAGATAGATAGATAGATAAGAACGGACTGCTATAGATGGACAGATAGATATAAATTGACTGAGATAGATAGATAGATAGATAGATAGATAGATAGATAGATAGATAGATAGATAGATAGATAAGAACGGACTGCTATAGATAGACAGATAGATATAAATTGACTGAGATAGATAGATAGATAGATAGATAGATAGATAGATAGATAGATAGATAGATAGATAGACCGCCACCATTAGTCTGTTGATGAGACTTGTCTGTATGCTTAAAATTTCTATTCCCTTCAATTTATTTCCATATCTATCTATAGTAAATAAAAGCGTAACTTTAAAAAATGAATATTAAAACAACAAAATAAATTTAAAAGAATGATATTAAATGCATTTATTTGAAAAATAGTTTAATATTTATTTATTCAAATATTCGGGTGTATTACTATTTATTTTGGAGGAGATTATTATTAATAAAAAAGTAAATAAACTTAAATTAAGATATATTTAATCTTGAAATTATTTACACATTTATAGTAAATAAAAACATAACTTTAAAAAAATTAATATTAAAAAGAAAGTAAATTTAAAAGAATAATATTAAAGACAATTATTTGAAAAAATTTAAGATTCAAATATTAGAGTTTTTGTGTGCGTGTTTCGCTAAAACATCTAAATAAAGTAAATAAACTTAAATTAAGATATATTTAAACCTATTGAATTTAATCATTTTTTAATGCAAAAAATAGAGCCAGTCTTACTTCTTCGAAAAATACTTACCGTATTTTCTGGCTTACAAGACGCACTTGTTTTCCCTAAAAATACGTGGGCGTGTTCCAAGACGTATCTAAGACAATGCTCAGGCTCAAGTAAGCTTGGACGGTCACCTAATTGGCTTGACTGATAGGGACGTGGATTTGTATGTTGAGTCATTACACTATAATGTTAGCTATCTATCTAAATCAGACTTTTATATGATGTCACCTTAGTACTTAGATGTTAAAAATATTTCCAAGACTATAAACCTTCCTGGAGCCGAGCCATAAGCTTAAACATGCTCTGTTTGCAAGAATCGGCCGGATCCTTTCTGCTCTTGACTAGTATGTCATTGCCAGACGAAGAAAATCGTACGAGTGATTGTACACAATACGTGACGCCAGTATATGTAAGGGACGCATGAGGAATGTGTTGTTGTATGAGAATGAATTTGTTTCTTAGATATTTCTTTCCAATATTTGGATGCGTCTTCCAAGCCGCAGCGTTTTGTAAGCCGTAAATTACGGTATTTACTATCAAAATACAAAGACCTTAATTTTGTTTTTAGTTTTTTGAAGAAATTATCAGTGGAAATGTTATGAAGCCATTTCTGACCTTAGATGTCTGGTTGGGGTCCGGAAAGAATACAACAGAAATCGAAAAAATAATAATAATAATAATAATAATAATAATAATAATAGAGGAACCAGTCTGGAGCCGAAAAATCTGTTCATGGAACAAACTCTTCCAACAACGATGAAACACCTGGTCACCAAACCCGGACAATTTCCAACCTTGGATCAAGTGACACGCTGCTACATCAACTAATAAAAACCGTCCTGGGTATGACGATAAACTACATCCGCGTCCAGGGTAAGACGATAAACTACATCCAGCAGCAAGGCCTCTGATCAGGAGGTTTTAAGGAGAGTGGAACCACCTCTTAATTGCTGGTGTTCCCAGGTCTACCCTGACCCGGGGTGGTATCACCTGTTAGGGTCCCAGCTATGGGCAAATAGTTAACCCCGAAACTGAGGTAAAAAGAATTATGAAAGTGTAAAAACAGATTTTAATACCAGAAATACTTTGTAAAAAAAAAATTATAACAAGAAATAAATTTTTGAAGAAGAAAAATTACTATTACCAGCAATACGTTTTAAAAAATATATATATATTCGGTTGGTGCAAAAATAATGTCGTTTTTTGCCGTTCAACTTAACGTCAAAAAACGACATTATCTTTGCACCAACTTAATATTACCAGAAATAATTTTTTTGAAAATAATATTACCAGCTATATATTTTTAAGGAAAAAAAAATATTACCAGCAATAGATTTTTGACAAAACAGAATATTACCAGGAAAAAAGTTGTCGGCATTAAATGGCCCATTGAGGTTGATGTGCCGTAAAACAAAGCAAAACCAAACCAATTAATAAGAAAAACCAACGAAATGGACTCCCGAAGAGTATCAACAAGTCATGATATCCTTTTCTACCGCACTCAAAAATCCATAAAATATTATCATGGATCAGACATACCAAATATGGAGGACTATGGTTAGAACTAATATAAGACGCTATGTCAACCCAAATATGCTCGCCAATTTCTGCAGGGACATAGAACGAAATAAAAGACTCTCAAATGTGGAAATAGATCAGATAAAATTAAATATAAGACAGAATACAATAAGCAATCACACACACACAAAAAGAGAGAGATGAGACTGCAAATAAAGACTATGATAAGCGAGATTCGAAATAATAATCTCTTAGGAAATAAAACTGAAGGATATACCTGCGAAATAAACTGCAGTTATCCAGATTATATCACTGATGATGAGCCAAACGACATTAAAACAGAATTCCTTAAAAACAACAGAGGTGAAATCACTGAAGCAAAATCCCATGCCATTCAAGTATTCAGCAGAGTAACCCTCACACAAATGTCAGAGAGAGACCAGCTCCCCAAAATCTATATGACAAAGTCTAATAAATATTGTGGGCAAATATTCAACGTTGCAATCGAAACCCTGTTAACGGACAAAGCAATGGGAAACATTACGGAAGTAAATAATGTCATAGAAACTACTGGGAAACCTGGGCGTCAAAACAATGAAAATATTAAACAGCAGCAGCTGATATGCACCCACCTTCTGCTTCCTTTCCCTTTGCATGGAGCTTACCGGTGTCGCTTCCGGGATGTGAAACCATATTAACGCGCTTTCAGCTAAGATTGTTTAGCGGTATCAAACAATTTCTTTACCAAAGATAAGCCACTCTATCTATTCTATTTAGGAAGGAAACATCGGACGGAACAAATTGCATGTAGCGTAATGTCGTCTACACGTGTGTTTAATAGTGTCGATTGATGTACACGAGGACAGTGAGTGCGTTTGCACATCGATTCTATGTTTTCCATTCTATCATATATTTTCTTCTTTTTTTTTCTTTCCTTTGTGCAAACGGCACTTTTCGGTGTGGGGAGGCGTCTGGAAATGTAAGTCACATAAAATAGACATATTACTTTGATGTGACATATCTCGATAGATCGACAATGATTTTTATATTGTATTTTTTTTTTTACCACGTCCGCCGTCATTTACATTGACGTAAATAAGATTGGGGGGGACAATTTTAGTAAAATATTTTACGTAGAAAATAGGCCGAAGCTGCCCGCTGAAAAGACACGCATACACACAAACACGCACATACACACGTACAACACATCTATCTATCTATATATATATATATATATATATATATATATATATATATATATATGATAAAGTAGAATATCGGAAAAATCAAAAAAAAAAAAAACAAAAAATGTCGGTGATTTGATTGAGTTTCATCCATTAACCCAAATTGTTCCTGAACAATTTTAACGCTTCTGCCTGAGTAACTCAAAATTCGCAAATAATTGGTATGTAATATTTCCCGGTAGATATAAAATTATTTACAAGTTGTTATGGTCGGTTCCTTGTACCACAGTGATAGTGTAGGAACCAATAAAGAAGAACTCGAACACAGGTATGGAATAACACAGATATATTGGAATATATAATAGAAGTGTTAGTATGAACAATCAGGTTTAGTAGAAAGAACAATGTAGTCTCGAGTATCACTATTCAATGTCTTGCAGTAATCGTCTGAACGCGACTCTGTTTCGGACTGCCTCTGACTCGACTCTTGATTGAACTACTGATGTTTTGGGCATCATTCGGTTTATGGGATCTATATTTTGCCCTTGAACCCGTTTTTTTCTTTCCCGAAAAGAATCCGCCCTTCGGCGTAGCCTCTTTGTGTTCCTCCCGGCCCGAAGGCAAAGTGTTCCACCGATCAGCCGGTCGACGAGATCGACTTGAGCGGATCGAGGAACTAATGACTCCCGAGGCGCAGTATTTATTAAGTATGGAATAGTCATTATTATTGTCATGGGTAAGATCCTCTAACACAAGTGTTTACCCACCGTTCAACTGGTAGCTGGCCATTAAGTCATTTTTCACAACCACCGTTCAACCGGTGACTGGGTACTACGTCATTCATGTCTACCACCGGTAAAGCGGCGGTCAGGGCTCAACGGGTTAATGCACGGTGAGTAAGAGTTTTGATAAGGTTAATCATCTGAGATTTGTGGGCAAAGGAATCCCAACTAAGATATAACACTGGAAAACATAAGCTAGTGATAGTTTTCTCGGCTAACATGTCTCGATCCAGTAAATTGTAAGGAGGGGTGGAGTTTGTTCGATTCGCTACGTTAGGTGAGTGTAAAACGCTAAGGTATCATTTTTATAGATTTGAATATTCATTTTCCTGGAACCCTACGAAAATATTAGCCATAAGAGGTCGAAGAGGAGTACCCATTGATACCCCATCGATCTCTTGAGACATGTCATTGTTGAAACTGAACGAGAGAGTATCCATCTCCAACAGCTCAACAAAAACGTTCTCAGGAATAGAAAGATATTTTAAGGGACCTCGATATAAATAGTCGGCACAAATGTCAACAATTTCGTCTTGGGGTGCATTGGTGAACAAACTAGAAATATCAAACGACACAAGATATTCGGTGTCAGCAGAAAGATGTAATTTACTTATATATGATACAAATTGAAAGGAAAAACTTCAGAACAGAATCCAGAATTTCGACAAGACACCTTGCCAACTCATGCATGCATTTTTTTTTGTTATTTCCTACCCGAATGACCAGTGCCAACTTGTCAGGCGAAGATGACAGAAAGAAGATTTGCTCTGCTACTTTGCTGCAATTTCCACTGCTAACCTGAACTACGCTTTCCTACTGTCTCCGAAATATTCACTGCTAACCTATGGATTCTATACTCGAAGACGACCGTCATGAATTTGTAACAGAATCAACCATGGACAAAATAGCTCTGAGTATTCGCTTTATGAATTTTAGTAGAACATATGCCCTAGAGATCTGGGAACCTGCATGACGAATCCTATCCTACCCCTGCTTAAAAAGAAACTTTCTTTTGTAAATTCAAGCTTACTTTCAAACTTAGTTTCCGTTTTCAAGGTGACATCAAATGAAATATTACCTAACTTCTGAAATTTGTTGATGTTGTCTAATATAGCAGACATTTTGGCAACATAGATCAATTAAGAATAACTACACCTGAACCTTTATCAGGTCTAGTAATGTAAATATCTGTTCTGCGTTTTAATAATTTCGCAGTCTGATTATGGTTCTTTTGCAAGAGGAACTCATTAAAGTTGATAGGCGAAGTCACGAATGTATGGGCTAGATCATTTCGGCGGGCTTTATGGTAACCGAAATTCTCATTGAAAGTGGACGAAGGTTGTTTTTTTTTCAATTTAGAATATAACATTTCAAATTCGCTGAAAGTTTCAATCTTATGAAGATTCTTAGCGGGGTGGGGATACAACAATCTGAATTAGACCAATTTATTAGTATCAGATAAACAATAAACAATAATTACACAAATAAAGAATAAGTTAATCAGATGTAATCCATGAACAAAATTTTCTTTTAGTTAAAAATCTAAGTGCCCAATATTTTTCGAAATGATTCTGTCAGCTTTAGACAAATATTTAGAAAAACGGAATTTGTCAAAGAAATATGAAGTAGACCTTGTATTGTCCCAAAATAATTTTTTACTGAATTTGTATGGAATTCACCATTTCAGAACAGTAAAGAATTTCGTTTATAACAAAAGCATGTTCAATACTAAAGAAATGTCAGCATCTTTTATCTTAGTTGACAGCTGAGAGATATAAGTGATAACATGGTTCTGGGAACAGGACTTCGGAAACTTAATCTTAAATTGAAGGAAGCGTAGTTTTTCCCTTAAATGGATGGTACTGTTGAGAACATTGATGAAGTCATAGTTGTATCGACCAAATAAAGAAGCAAATATATTTTTACTATCGCAATATGATAAAAAACATTTTGAATATTGATAATAATTTAATATCTAACTATTAAAATTGAATAAAATAAATAAAAACTAAGTAAGACCGACATTTCGTCCGAAGTAAATCGCCAGTATCAAAATACTACTGATATGGTGGTTTATATATATATATATATATATATATATATATATATATACAACTCTCCCGTCGATTTTTCGACGTATGATGGTCAAGCAGCTCAGTTCCTAGGAACCGAAAACCCAACACACGCACATGACAATTGATTATAGTGGTGAAGATTTTGTACAGAACCATCCACACTTTTTGAAGGGCCGAATACAGAGACCTGGTGGACTACGTTCCCCAAAGTCCTCAAACGACCCTCCGCAGGTTTTAAATTCAGAGTTGTCCTTCTCCTAGACGAGTTGCCATCCAAGGCTATAGAACCCAGTTTGTCCTGCTATTTACCCATTGGCTGGTTAGGACCCAACATATGATTACAAAACTAATGCTGATCAATATTTCATTAAAATAATAGTTTCGTACTTTCATTTCCACATTAATAATTTTAGTTACTAATACTGGCTGAATCTGGCGGGAGAGAAACAGTATCAGAGCATACAGTGAGGATCGAACTCACGACACACGGAAATTGTTCTACGATATGAGCTTTCTCATATTGCGCTAGGGTAGGCTCTCAGTGTCCTTGCTCAAACACTGCAACGAATTCGCTACTTACAAATCGATCCCCGAGGAAAAAAAAAACTCTTTAACCATTACGCTATGAAAGTTATTTACTAAACTTGATATAGTCTGGCATAAGGCCATAAGAATTCGGTACCCACTGAAAATCAAAGCGAATACACCAGCGTATTGGTTTGCCAGTAGGCACCCATGGTTATCTCAGTTTAAAAAAAAAAAAACAAAAACAAAAAAAAACACTTAATCTTGGCAAGCAATTTCAGTGTTTATGATCAGAAAGAGGCAGCTGACGCTTCTGGGAGACATAATAAGGGAAGAGGGCATGGAGAATACAATACTCACAGGACAGACTGAAGGCACGAGATTCAGATTGAAACATGTAGTAACTGACAAATCAAGCTTGCGTCAATGGATGACACAACAGCGACGACAGAGGAAAGTAAAATGACAAAATTTGCTTAGAGCATTTTTTAATCGGTTTCACCCCATGCAAGGCAGTAAAGCCACTAAGACACAAGGAGGTACAGGGTGTGGACAAATTAGGAACAGAAACATTAATAATGAGCCGGAAGAGGACAGTAGATAGCGATTGACATTGCATCTAAAGCAAGAAAGTAAGTTTTGGAGAGCCATGATCAGTCACGTCCTGAAGAAACACGGCGCATTTTATTACTTGACGGCAGAAAAAGCTTTGATGATACATAGGGACTTGGAGTGACAGTAAAGGGACAAATTACAGCTACGAAGCATAAGAAGTTGTGGAGAGCCATGATCGGTCACCTCTTGAAGACGAAAGCATTTATATTTTATTACTAGGCTGACGTTTCGACACAGTATATAAACAAAGCTTGTGTAAATGTATGGGAAGAACAGGAACTTAAAGTGAGAGTAAAGGAACAAACGTTACTTACAGCTACGAAGGATAGGAAGTTGTGGAGAGTCATGATCGGCCACCTCTTGACTGAACACCGTACATAGAAGACGAAAGCATTTATATGGATGGCAGAACAGGAATTTGGAGATTTCAAATATTACTTAGAGCTACTTTTGTAGGAAGTTGTGGAGAGTCGTGGTCGGTCACATCTTGAAGGGTAAGGCACATAGAAACGAAAACATTTATATTTCTATTGCTAGGTCGAGGTTTCGACTAAGTACCGGCGCACATAATAAGGAAAGAAGGCTTGGAAAATCTGATACTCACAGGACAGATAGAGGGAAAGAGGGAGAGAGGAAAGCAACGCATGACATACTTAGGGAACTTCATTAGATGAATGGCAGGACAAAGCTTAGGAGAAATAACAAAAAGAAAAAGTGTATTAAGAGCTTCAAGTGACTGGAAGTTGTGGAGAGCCATGATCACCTGCGTTCTGAGAGGATACGGCACATACAGAAGAA